CCACCTGGTGGCCTGGTCCAGGATTGCAGCTCTGAGAATCAGACCAGGGGCTGCGTAAGGCCAGAGGAAGTGATGGAAGTTGGGAGGTTGACTTGTGGGTACAGCCAGCGTTTTCTGGATTTTCATTCAATCATCCTCTGTACCCATTACTTTTCTAGGATATAAAAGCACATTTTATGGCATATCTAACCTTCAGATTGGAAGTCCAGCTCTGGTCTGAAGTGAGGGTAAAGTTATAACTGTGAATGTGTTTTTCAGGTGATAAAGCTAGAGAGAACACACACACACACACACACACACACACACTCAACTCGGTTTTTAAAATCCACTTCAAAAAATAAAAAATAAAAAAATTAAAAAAAAATCCACTTCATTTCCTCATGAAATTGAACAAAATGAATATTTTTACAAAGTAATGAAAATACATGCTCATTATCTGTGTTGACCTGTTCAGAAATATTTTATTTTTTTCAGTTTTATCAAAGTTCCATTCTCCTTGAGTACAAGTTTGCAAACAATATATAAAAATATATTTATAAACTGAAGTTTTCCTGCATCTCTCACTAGTGCTACTTTTACCCCCTGATCCAAAGGGGTCTGTGTTGGTATCTGATGGGGGAGATTAGGGCATTCAGAACCCTGGAAACATAAGGACAAAATGGGAAAACTTTAAGACAATTCTAGGGTGAGCAGCTGATCAGGAGACAAGAAAAAGTGTTTCTCGGAGGTGCACATACTCCTCTAACGTCAGCAGCCTGCTATGAGTATTGTTCATAATAATAGGTAATGTAAATAGTTGTTAGAATGAAAGGAGATGAAATATAAAGGGCATTTTCTGAAAGCAGGTCCATACATACCACTTCCCTTTCCTCTAGATCACCTGTCCCAGGGGCAACACCTGAGCTTCTGCTGGAGCCCAATTCTCCCCTTCAGGGATCACCAAACAGATGTCTCTTGGAACAAGGACAGGATTTCATCTCCTCTGTCATCTTCGTCATCCAGAGGGTTGTGGAGGGCCATCCCTTTGGGACCACAATAGCAGGAAGTGTGATCTGATTACTTCTCCTGCCCAGGAAGTCCATCTTCCAGAGGGAGGCTGCTCTGTGTCCTCTAGAAATGGCGGGTGATGGAACCCCTTTCCCATCCTGTCACTTATCTGGAGAATGACATGGGCTCTGTCAGCCCAAGCTTGGTCATCTGTGAAGTGGGACTCAGGCTGACTTGGCACAGAGCTGCTCCGAGGGGTAAATGAGCAAACTTGTCTGAGTACATGGCATGTGGTGGGACTTCAAGGGCCTTTAGTGTTGGGGGGACACAGCAGTGGGGCTGGCTGGGCCTCAGGCCCAAGGTGGATATTGTGAAGTCATTTTTCATTGTTTCTCCTAATGGGAAGATATTTTTTATGAAGGAAGAAAATATCTTTCTGACATGCTATGAGTTCAAATTTTTGGAGACACAGATGTTCTACTCTCTGGGGTGTCTCAGAAGCTCCTAAGAGCTGCTCCACATCGTGCCTCTGAACAGATTCTCATCCAGTTCCCAGGCAGGGAAGACAGGCTTGTCTATTACTCACCTGGTGAGCTCAATGAGATCACACCAGGCAGCAAGGTGTGGTGACTGCTTGCCTGCTGCTCCTGGAAGGCTCCTTATCTTAATATATTTATAGGAAAATTCTGGACCTGTCCTGCTGTCACTGGTGCAGGGTTGCTCAGATCATGCATTATACAGCCATAGCACACCAGGATTTCATCCATCTGCTACGTCCCTGAGAGGCAAATATCCAAGAATTACTAATATTTCTCTGTTGTACAATTATCCATTATTTCATTTCCTCACTTATAACTAAATGTATATTGAACTCAAAACCCATACTGTTCCGTTGGAGGCATCCCATTAACCCTATTGCACAAATAAGGAAAATCTGGGAAAATTCAAGAGTTAAATCTGATATGATAGCTGCTGTGTATAAACTTTTTTTTTTATTTTTATTGATTTCTTACAGAGAGAGGGAGAGGAAGAGAGAGAGTCATATATCGGCTGCCTCCTGCAGACCCCTACCAAGGATCGAGTCCAAAACCCTGGCATGTGCCCTGATCTGGAATCGAACCGGCAACCTTTTCATGCACAAGACGATGGCCAACCAACTGAGCCACACTGGCCAGGGCTCCTGTATATAAACTTTAAAACTTGCTCAAGTTTGAATAAATTGAAAAAAATTTTTTTTAAACCTTCCTTGTTCCCATCACTTCCATTCACCTGCAAAATTAATATCTGTCTCTCAGCCTTTAAGTCAAATTTCAGAAAAAGTTTTCTACATTCTCTGTTAACATTCTTCACTTTCCAATGACTCCTTATCTCAGTGCACCCTAAATCCAATATTATCTCAACATTAATTACATATTCTCATTTTTCAATAATTCCAAATAAGGTCACATTCAGAGGTATAGGTGTTTAAAGCTTGTGCCTATCTTGTTGGGGGACATAATTCAACCTACTACAGTGATATAAGCATGTTAAAAAAAACTAAAATATGATCTTATCTCTTATACATAAATATATGAATATATCCATACAAACATAAATATAAAAATTCCTACATAAGAAGACTTCTGGGAGAATATAATGTAGGTGAAAACATTATTAGGGCTTATCTCAGGATGCTATGTTTGAGGTATTATTATCTCCTTTTCTATGTTTTGTATTTTTACCCATAATAAACACTTATTGCTCTTGTAATTACACAAAATAATGAAATCACTGAGAAAGATAAACAATTTCTACTCCACCCCCAGGAAAACTGTTAATCCTATATAATAAAAGGCTAATATGCAAATTGACCAAGCAGTGGAATGACTAGTCACTATTACAGACACTGACCACCAGGGGGCAGACGCTCAATGCAGGAACTACCCTCCGGTGGTCAGTGCACTCCCACAGGAGGCTGGTGAGTGCAGCGGCAGTAGCGGGAGCCTATCCTGCCTCCACAGAAAGGCTAAGGATATCTGACTGCCAAAGCCAGCTCCTCACAGGCTGGGCTGAGGGACACCACCCTCCACCCCAGTGTACACAGGGCCTATAGTGTGTGTGTGTGTGTGTGTGTGTGTGTGTGTGTGTGTGTACTCATTTGCTCAATTTGCTCAATTCTGCTTCTGTACAATCTGCTTTTGCAAGATAGGTCCAGCAGGATTTAGAATTTAGAATTTAGAACAAGGAAAAAATTTTGTAGTTTAGACTTTTAAAAGGACTGCCTATACCTGGAACGGTGGGTCATGAGGGTGGACTCCACCTGTGTGTGGTGCTCTCATGGCCACCGCTGGCCAGCTCAATAAATCTTTGCCTGCTTTTTTAAATCAATTAGCAGCCTCCAGTGGTCTTATTTTTGACTCCAGTGTTCAACCTCACAAACTTTCATTATATGTTCGCTCCACAAAGTCAGACATTTTGTCTCATTTGTTCACTGAAGGATTCTCACTTCTTGGAATAGAGCCTAGCATCCAGTAGATGAAATAAACTCAGTCCTAACTTCATCATGGTTATAGGGTGCTTACTTCTCTTTCCTGTGTTAACAAAAAAACAACAACAAAACATTGAAACCTGTAAAGAATTTTGTGAGTTAATTTGAGCCAAACTGTCGACATATGCTGAGAAGCAGAACCTCAACAAATTGAGATAATACTCAGGAGAATGGTGGGTTACATATGTATTTATACATTGCAATCAAAGGATGGACATAGGTGGGTTACATGAAATTCATTGGTGATGGATTAAGGAGGTGGGATAAAGCAAAGCCCAGGGATTGGATAAAAAGTAAAATGATGGACACATACTTAGGTGGGTACAGGAACAATTAACATGATAATGAAGGAATTTGAGGCATCTGTCCTGGCACCCACCACATTTGGTTGTGCCCCAGAAAAAGGGAAGTTATAAGTTACCCAGACATCTCACAGATATGTTATCTTAGAGTAAGGTGACCAGACGCGGGACAAATTGTTAAAAATCGGGACTGTCCCGCCAAAAGTGGGATGTCTGGTCATCTTATCTTAGAGGCAAAAAGGCAAATGGGCTCAGTAAAGAAGATCTAAGTTGATCTTTGTCAGGGAAAATATCAGCCTAGGACATGACTACCCACTATAACCTGTTTGTAGATAAATATTTAATTTTTAAACCATCTTTTGTGGTTATTTTAGGTCTCTGAGTTTGCAAGACTGCCACACAGGCCTTCCCTGAGTTTGTCAGGTTCGCAAGTGGCTCCTTTCTTCCATACCTGGTCTGCCCTAATTGCTATTACTACAGATGCTCAGAAGAGTGCATTACTCCATTTCCTTCCTGGAATTTCTTTTTTTTTTCTTTTTCTTTTTTTAGCACAATAATTTTTTTAATATATTTTATTGAATTTTTTAGAGAGGAAGAGAGAGGGATAGAGAGTCAGAAACATCAATGAGAGAGAATCATGAATCAGCTGCCTCCTGCACACCCCCTACTGGGGATGTGCCCGCAACCAAGGTACATGCCCTAGACCGGAATCAAACCTGGGACCTTTCAGTCCACAGGCCGACGCTATACCCACTGAGCCAAACCGGTTTTGGCTCCTTACTGGAATTTCTTCTGCTTGGCCTCTTCTAGGTCTGGTTAGTAAGGGGGCCAACTCATCTCTGAACATAACCTCACCTTTGATATTCCTGGCTCAAAGGACTGCTCTCAGTTTTCTCCTGTGACAGGCAGTTTTGGGGCACGGGGCATGCTGGTAGTTGTAGTCAGAATCTGCCTACTTGCATTAGAGCTAAAGTCGAGGGCCGGAAAACTACAACTCCCAGAGTTCCGCGCGCCGCCAAAACCGAGCCGGGAGAGCCGCGAGAACAGGAAAGAGATAATTTATTCCTTGGGTGAGTGGCTTTGTTCTTCCCAAGTAGCATACACTCGCATTCTCCTAGGGCTTAGGTGTATCTGTTCACCTTGTGGGGACGAAAAGCTAGGCCAGGTACTTGAGGCACGCAGCCGTTCTGCACATCGATGGTGCCGGGCGAGGCTAGCTTTAGCCTTAGAATATAGCCCCTTTCTTTTCCTTGTCCAGGACTCAGCCTCCTGAAGGGTTGTGGACACGGCCGTGAGGACTGCCCACTTCTGCCAGACCGAATAGGGCTCTCCTGGAGCCCCGGAGAGGGCCACGTGGACGTCTGTAGAGACAGGCCTTGAACCTGGCTGCTATGAAGAATGACCCATCCACAGCTGCAGCCCCACTTAGGGGGGTCGGGGGTGCCCTAAGCAGCAGCGAAACGGTGCGCGTCGTCCCGTCACCAGCGGTGGCCGAGGCTCTACTGGAGGAGGCGGCCGATCACCTAGTGGTGCACCGGGACTTCCGGGAGGCGCTGCACACCTGCGTGCGAGCCGGCCAGAGCCTGAGCAACTACACCCTGGCTGACGGGCCTGTGGGCACGTATGTGCGGGGATTGCCTGGGGAGGGTCCAGCATTTCGGGAACCTGTCATTCCCAGAATGGACACAAGAAGCCTCTAACAGGCTGATGTGCCCATTCTACAGATGAGAAAACTGAGCCCTGAGCAGAGCTTAACCAATTCTTTGCTCCCTGCTCCAGTGTGATGGTGTGATGGAAAGATAGAATGTGTACTGTACTACATTATTTCCATAAGCAGGCTCAGTACTTTCCTAGGTACACTCCCCATCCCTAAGTTGTTCTCCTATGGTCTTGGCTGATGAGTGGTAATAGGGTTCTGATCCTGCTGAAGAGCTGGATTAAAGAATCAAACTAGAGAAAAACCTTGCCCTCCACTGCCTTTGTTAATGCTTCTAGCCTCTTCTGGAACTTGAGGACATCATTTCTCTGTGGTGTGGACTGTAAAATTGGATTAGATCACACATTAGGTGGTGGGTAGAATAGTCAAAGCTGAGGAGCCCTGGTTGTGATTTTAGGGGTTGTATTGGGGCTTGTTACAGTAAACGCTGAAGACTGATTCCTGGTGCCAGGAGGTACCTCACTGGCTGGCACTAAGGCCAGTGGATTCCCACACTCAGGCTCCATGCCCATTTCTTCACACAAACTGTTAGTTCCAGCTCGCTTTCCACCCACACACCTGTGTTGCAGGTGTACTTTTCTCTTTCTGGCATACAAAGGGGAAAGTACACTTGCATACGAAGATGTTGGGCAAGCCTTAGCCGTTTTGGCTTGGTGATAGAGCATCGGCCTATGGACTGAAAGGTCCCAGGTTCGATTCCTGTCAAGGGCACATGCCTGGGTTGTGGGCTCACCCCCAGTGGAGGGCAGGAGGCCGCCAATCAATGAATCTCTTTCATCATTGATGTTTCTATCTCTCCCTCTTCCTCTCTGAAATATATATTTTATTGATTTTTTACAGAATGGAAGAGAGAGGGATACAGAGTTGGAAACATCAATGAGAGAGAATCATCAATCAGCTGCCTCTTGCACACCTCCTACTGGGGATGTGTCCCCAACCAAGGTACATGCCCTTGACCAGAATCGAACCTGGGACCTTTCAGTTCGCAGGCTAACGCTCTATCCACTGAGCTAAACCGGTTTTGGCAATAAAAATATATTTTAAAAAAGATGTCGGGCAAGAGTTGATTTACCTCTAGGAGGTTTATAGGAACTTTTAATTTCTAGGAGAATGGGCAGTTTTCTCTGCATTGGGGCCCATTAGACCAATTGTAATTGTGAGGACACTTTGAATACTAATGGGGAGGATGGAAGTGACGGCTGCTAAATTGGTAGGTGGGGAAGAACAGTCCCAGGGAGGTGTGAATGGAAATGGAGGGGGACCGCTTCTAAACCTGAGTTGTTTTTTCTGCTGACAGTTCCTTAGAAGTGAAATGCTCCCTGTGTGTTGTGGGGATCCAGGCCCTGGCAGAAATGGATCGGTGGCGGGAAGTTATTTCCTGGGTTCTTCAGTATTACCAGGTCCCTGAAAAGCTACCCCCCAAAGTCCTGGAGCTGTGGTAGGTCCTTGTTACTGACTCATTGGGTCATTCCAGAAATGAAGACTTTTATTCTCTTCTGAATCAGTGCCTAATACCTCCTCTTTCACATTCTCTACTATTTTCCTCCAAATTTGATTTTTTTTAAAATATATTTTATTGATTTTGTACAGAGAGGAAGGGACAGAGACAGAGAGTTAGAAACATCGATGAGAGATAGACATAGATCAGCTGCCTCTTGCACACCCCCGACTGGGGAAATGCCCGCAACCAAGGCACATGCCCTTGACCAGAATCGAACCCGGGACTCTTCAGTCCCCAAGCCAATGCTCTATCCATTGAGCCAAACCGGTCTTGCCGCAAATCTGATTTTTTTTTTTTTCCAGACCTCAAAACAGCACTAAAGTATGAGGAAGGAGGGATTTAGGAGTGGGTCAAAGGAAAGAGGAAGAGTAGAGGATACTGGGTATAGGAGATGTAAAATGGGATGACAGAGTGGAGTGTCATAGTGGAAGAGAACTTTTTGCTACTTTCAAGGAATTCCTAATTCTTTTCAATGTCAGCATTCCATAAGGAAGGGCTGGAGGACACAGAGGAGGAGCTGGATAAGAGAATACAGTTTTTATGAGAAATGAACCAACTGTGAAACACTGACTGTTGTTTTGTTTTGTTTTGTTTTTTGGGGGTTGGATTGGATTATTTTGGGCTGCAGTGTTCTTTTATACAGCAAAATGCAAGAGCCTGGAGCCATGCTGGAAGCAGCCAGTGCCTGGATCCAAGACCCAGACAATCAGGGCCTTCCAGAATACAGAGCCTTGGCAGAACTTTACCTGCAGCAGGTGCTACTGCCTCTGGGCTGCTTGTCGGAGGCTGAGGAGCTAGTGGTGGGCTCTGCAGCCTTCAGTGAGGAGCAGCAGCTGGATGTACTCCAGGTCATCAGCATAGCAAGGCAACAGCAGAAACATGAACACTCTGACTCTGAGGAGGACCAGAAGCTCACCCAGGAAGGTAGGATATTATCCTTCTGTGGCTTCTTTAAAGTATAGTTGTGGACTTTTCTCTGGACCTTGGGGTCCATCATGACATTCCTGGGAGCTTGGGAGCAATTCTTTCTATGAGTAACTCCCAAACCAGGATTGGAAACTGGTTGAGTTGCTTAGAAAGTCCAGACATGCTGAAATAGGTGGTGGAAAGAAAATCTTCATATGTTGCTGGGTCTCAGGACCTTGATTCTCTTCTCCTAAAAGTCACCATCTCCTTGGGGTCCTCTCATTAGACCTCTTGCCTGTACTATGCTGGGCTAGGTAGGATGTTATTCCTTTAAATGCTAATGCAAATGTAGACACAGCTGAGATATGCTTGGGGATAGCCAAAAGATAACGAGAAACTAACATGATAACTTGGTAACTTGACTTATGAGGTAAAAATTACTTATCTTCAGTTTGGGTGCCTCTGCTCAGTCTTCCACCTGCCTCACTCACCAGACCTCTTGGGTGTCTTTTCCAGTGATTGATGTCCACCCCCTTCATGGATAGCCCACCTCCGCACAGTAGAGTGCAGATTTATAGAATGGCTTCTGTAGAGAAACCAGTCTATAAATCTGCACCGTACACCTAGCTAGCATCATACAAGGGGAACCTGCAAAGGGGTGGGTTTGGGTGTTGATTTGTTACAAAGGGACTTAAAAGTTCTTCTACTCCAGACCCTTCCCCTGGTTCTTTAATCCTTTTCATCTCCTTTTCCTTGAGTGATCTAGACTTCTAGACTGTACATAAATACGTTTAAGTGCAGAAATTCACTATTTTCTAAAGCAGCTCATTTCATCAATGGCAGTTCGGAAAGGAAATTGTTCTTTATCATGAATTTCAGTTCCCCACTCCCTGCTCTTGGTGGTTTCTAATGTATTAGTCATAATATATAGAATAGGTTGAGTCCGTCCCCCCCCCCCCCTTAAGAGCCCTTCAGCTGTAGGAAACTGTAATATTGTTGTCTTAAGTGTTGTAGTTGTTGTGTATGTGTGAGCATGAACCTGCTGAGACAGGATCACTTTTTTGCAAATAGGACATGTTGACTTCAGGGATTACCTATGGATCTCCAAGCCCTCTACCCCTACACCCATGGGGCGGAGAGAGCAGATAGTGGTTTGATGGAAAATTCAGAATGTTCTATCAGGACTGGGCACCACTTGTTCTTGGGTTGGTAGTGTTTATGTTTATATTCATAATCCAGGACCTTTGAATTCTTCACTATGTGTGGTAAGTGCCCTTCCATTTTCCTGCATTATTGTGATAATCAAGACCTATTGTTCTGTGTAACTCTATGCATGTATCTTAGGCTAAAATATAATGTTATAAAATAGGATATTTAGAAAAACACCAAATAAGCCAGATTTTCCTAGCTAAGTAGATGTGGTCTGTCAAAGTTCGCCCCTAAGGAAATAATAGTCTGGTGATACAGTCCGTGAAACATTGTTGGAGCTTCGGAATCTCCTTTAGAACCACTTTATGAATGACATGAGTTATAAAATTACCTTCTGTTCAACTCTTATAATCAAGCTCAAAGCTCAGACTTAGGGAAGCTGGTTCCTGTGACTTACCTTACAGTTATGCTCTGTCTCCCTGACCAGACTCCTCCCACAAGTTTCTGTCACTACTGATGTTGCTTCGCCGGCTTTGGGACTCTGCAGTGAGCCATTTCTTTTCCCTGCCCTTCAAAAAGGGCTTCCTGGCCACCTTGATTCTCTGCCTCTTGGTGGTGAGGCTTGATCCAGGTGAGTGATGAAGCCTACCTCTCCTTCTACCCTTCCCGGAGAAGGGGCAGTTGACAAGGACTGGGCCTGTGGGAGCCCTCTTGGGGATGGAGGTACCTCCTGTGCCATTTCTTTGAGTCTCTTCTATAAGGAGGAATTGCTGGACCTGAGCAAGAGCTGGCCCAGCCCACCAGGAGAGACTAGTGCTGTGGTCTATGAGAGCAGTCTGGAAAACGTCTACCCTGCTGACTCTTGAACACTGAGTTTGAGTCATTATCATGTACTTTATCATGTACTTTATGCAGGATTGAACTCTGAATAGAACCTCAGAGTTAAAAAAAAAACCTTCCTCATATGTTTAAAAAACTGTGTTAATTTAAAACATATCAAATTGTAAATGAAATACTTATACATTTTAGAAATATGGAAAATAGGAAAAATTTAAAGAAGAGAACAAATCACCTGTAAGTCTGCTATTATAATGGTTATACTTTCAGCGGTTTTTATATGTATAGACATATATGGACATAAGTAAATTTTGCATATGGTAAGTATTTTTTAAAACATGACCTTAAATGGCTAAGTAATATTTCAATTTATAGAAAGTCCCATAATTGATTTTAACAACTCCCCATTGCAGAACATTTTAATTATTTCGTATTCTGTTTTCTGCAGTGCTGTAAAGCAGACTTGAGCTTCCTAAGTACTATTTGAGAACAACCTTTGTTATTTCCTGAGGATTAATTCCTCAGACATGTAAGCACTGGGCCAAAGGTTAGGAGTTCACGCTTTTAGATTTTTTTTTCCTCTATGTGAGTTATGTCTAATCTCTACTCTTCTCATGAATTTAGACTTAGAATACAATTATATAACTTTCAAAACCAGAGATAAAACTAAAAACCCTTATTCCAGTACTTTTATTTCCTTTTTCTTTCTTTTCGGATTGAGAAACTTGAGAACCACAGAGAAAAGTGACTAGCCCAGGATCACACACATAATTTGTCTTTCAAACTGCCAATTTTTAATTTAATTTTTAGGTTTCCATTTCCCCCATTTCCCTTTCTCTAATTCAATGAAACTTTTTCTTTGTATTGCTCAGAGTTGTCTTTTTCACCCCTTTGCTGAACTCTGAGCAGGAATTCCCTCTGAATAGCTCTGTATGCTTTGGGAAAGAATCACTAGTTAGCCTCAGGTAAGCTAAGATAGTTTGTATTCATTCATATCTATCCTCTGACTTTTTAAAAATTTATCTTTATTGACCCACTGTGTCCTGCTCCCAACCCCTCCCTAGGTCTTCACCCTTATCTGTCCATGGGTTGGCTATAGCAGACACTATCCTCTGACTTTCTCCATTGTTCCAGAGACTTGATAAAAATTTAGGAAAATTTTTATGGTTTTTTAAGCCCTTTCATTTCATAAACCCTGGTCTCCTAAGTGCAGGTGGCAAGAGGCCATTTGAGCTTGCTGTTCGCAAAGCTGCTCAGACTTCTTCAGAAGTGCCCTGGCTGATGGTCCTGACCTCCAGTGGTAGTCATTACTCATTATAGTGGTGGTGTTATGGGAAAGGAGGACTCATGAATGGGCTGCAGTTTACCTCCATAGAAAGGATATACCAAAGATAGTCTGTCAATAGCTTTCTAAAAAAATAACATTTTCCTTTTTAAGAAAGAAAAAAGAATCAGTTAAAAAATCAGGAATGGCCGGTTTGGCTCAGTTGGTTAGAGCATTGTTCTGTATACTGAAAGGTGGCAGGTTTGATTGTCAGTCAGGATACATACCCAGGTTGAGAGTTCAATCTCAAGGCATGCTCAGGAGGCAGCTGATCAATGTTTCTCTCTCACATCAATGCATCAATGTTCTTCTCTCTCTCTCTCTCTCTCTCTCTCTCTCTCTCTCTCTCTCTCTCTCTCTCTTTCTCCCTTTCTCTTCCTTCCTCTCTCTAAAATAAATTTTAAAAATTAAAAACAAATCAGGAATTCAAATAATGAAAAACAAACCAACTCAGCTTTAAGACCAAAGAGGTGAATTTTGCTTTAATTTCAGTATATTTAATATAACAAAAATAGGTAATACTGTCACATGGCTCCAAATTTAAAAGATATAGAGATGAATTGTAGTAAAAAGTCTCTTCTCAAATTCAACTCACCAGAAAGTCACATTAGCAGTTTTTTGTATATAAAAAAAGGAAAACATAACATATTTGAATCTTTTTCTCAGAAAATTTAAGATCATTGTATTCTAAGTGAAGAAAGTATATTTCAGAGAATATGACCTAGAGAAAGTGGAATTCTTTATTGTTGAGGAAATAACATTAAGAGTCAAAATATGCTTCCAAAAGAATCCTTATGTTCCCAATTTGGTAGAGTTCCTGAGGGATGGGAAATGGGACTAGGTGAAGAGAAGGGGAGTGAAGGAAGTTACATTGACAATAATATTCTTTTTCCCTCTAGCATCTCCTTCCTCCCTGCCCTTCCTCTGCAAGCTGGCTCAGCTCTTCCATTGGATCCGGGAGGCTGTGTTTTCTTCTGTCTACTAGCTCTCCATCCGTGACTGAGTGGTCTTCCCCATTCACCTCAGCCTCTCCACTCCCCACAGCAGAACAACTCATCCACGGCACCAATTTCCTGTTGCTGGCTGGGCCCCTATGGGAGTGGGGCCAGCTTAATTCTAGGAAGAGCTAATCCAATCACATGAACTGTCTTGGCTGGTGTCAGGTCATATGGAAACAAAGTGGGGCCAGAGGGCACAAGTCCTCCAGAACAGTTCCCTCTTATACCCAGAGATGCCTTGTTAAGGAGGAGTTTGGGAATGGAGAGTGTATCTATGAAACATTCCATCTTCTTGGCAAAGGCAGGGGGTTGATTTTTTTGTCATGGTGTGAATGAAGTCCTTGAACATCTTACCCTTCGACCAGGCCTTTAGTTAGCCAGAGTGCCACCTGAGAGGGCCTCTTCTTTTCTCTCTTATGCTCTTCTTCATGGATCTGGCCTGGTTGTTTATCGGTACACAATTTCCATGGTTTTGCAATGGACTCAAAACAGCCTGGGCCCAATCTCTATTCAGACCAGGGCTTGACTTTCAGAACCACCCAGGTGATTACTGAGAACAAAATGAATCTGCTTCGCTCTTCTCACTGGGTAAAGTGATCTTGCTTGGTGCTTCTTGGGCTTCGGCTCGGTTTTCCAGGCAGTCGGTGGCCAGCCCATTTGGTTACACTCAGTATTGCTGCCGTCTCTTTCCCTCTGGTCAAGCCCTTCCCCTGCCATGCAGTAGTATTTTTGTGCTTTGTCTAATGGCTTTTTCACCAGTTCTGCCTGAATCCTTGCTTTCTGGTAGACACTTGCTGGTTTCCCCTTTCTATATCCTATTCTAATTATAATTTATTATTTGTATAATGCAGATGTTTTTCTGCTACTTGTGGCCTTGAAAAGAAGGCCAGCCTTAGAGGTTGGTGATCTGAAAATGGAACCGGGTAATCAGGGAGCTGGAAGGGATGTGCATGGAGGGCGGGGGAGAGGGTTATGCAGGCAGTGAACAATTTTATTCCTTGTTAGGGAGCGGAGATATGGGGCCTCAGAATTTTTTTAAAATATATTTTATTGATTTTTTTTGCCCCCCTCCCTCCCATACATACCCTCCATCCAGAGTTTTATGTCCATTGGTTGTACTTATATGCATGTATACAAGTCCTTCGGTTGATCTATTATCTCCCCCAGATCTCCCCCCCCTTCCCCGCTGTAATTTGACAGTCTGCTTGTTGCTTTACTATCTCTATATCTATCTTTTGGTTCATCAGTTTATAATGTTCTTTATTATCCATAAATGAGTGAGGTCATGTGGTGTTTCTCTTTCATTGATTGGCTTATTTCACTCAGCATGATGTTCTCCAATTCCATCCAGGTTGCTGCAAATGATAAGAATTCCTTCTTTTTAATGGCAGCATAGTATTCCATTGTGTAGATATACCACAGTTTTTTGATCCAATCATCTGCTGACGGGCACCTAGGCTGTTTCCAAATTTTGGCTATTGTAGATTGTGCTGCTATGAACATAGGGGTGCATATATCCTTTCTGATTGGTGTTTCTATTTCTTGGGATATATTCGTAGGAGTGGGATTACTGGGTCATATGGGAGTTCCATTTTCAGTTTTTTGAGGAAATTCCACACTGTTCTCCACAGTAGTTGCACCAGTCTGCATTCCCAACAGCAGTGCACGAGGGTTCCTTTTTCTCTGCAACCTCGCCAACACTTGTCGTTTGTTGATTTGTTGATGTTGGCAGTTCTGACTGGTGTGAGATGGTACTGCATTATTGTTTTGATTTGCATCTCTCGGATAATTAGTGACTTTGAGCATGTTTTCATGTGCCTTTTGGCCTTCCTTCTGTCTTCATTTGAAAATATTCTATTTAGGTCCATTGCCCATTTTAATTGGATCATTCATCTTCCTTTTATTTACTTGTATAAACTGTCTGTAGATGTTGGAGATTAAACCTTTATCAGTGGTAATATTTGCAAATATGTTCTCCCACACAGTGGGCTTTCTTGTTTCGTTGATGGTTTCTTTTGCTGTAAAAAAACTTTTTATTTTGATGTAGTCCCATTTGTTTATTTTCTCTTTAGCTTCCATTGCCCTAGGGGAAGTATCAGTGAAGAAGTTCTTTTGGCATACATCTGAGATTTTGCTGACTGTGGATGCTTCTAGTATTTTTATGGTTTCCGATCTGATGTTTAAGTCCTGTATCCATTTTGAGTTTATTTTTGTGTATGGTGTAAGTTGGTGATCTAGTTTTCATTCTTTTGCATGTATCTGTCCAATTTTCCAAACACCATTTATTGAAGAGACTGTCTTGACTCCATTGTATATTCGTGCCTCCTTTGTCAAATATTAATTGAACATAGTGATTTGGTTTGATATCTGGGTTTTCGATTCTATTCCATTGATCTATATGTCTGTTCTTGTGCCAGTACCAGGCTGTTTTGAGAACAGTGACTTTGTAATACAGTTTGAAGTCTGGTATTGAGATCCCTCTTACTTTACTCTTCTTTATCAGGATTGCTGTGGCTATTCGGGGTCTTTTATTGTTCCAAATGAACTTTTGGAGAGTTCTTTCTAGGTCAGTGAAATATGCCGTTGGTATTTTAATGGGGAGTGCATTGAACCTATAGATTGCTTTAGGAAGTGTGGACATTTTGATGATGTTGATTCTACCAATCCATGAACATGGTATGTTCTTCCATCTGTTTATATCTTCCTCTATCTCTTTTTTCAGTGTTGTGTAGTTTTCCGCATATAGGTACTTTACTTCCTTAGTTAAATTTATTCCTAGGTATCTTAATTTTTTTGGTGCGATGGTAAATGGAATTGCTTTTTTAGTCTCTTTTTCTATAAGTTTGCTGTTAGTGTATAGAAATGCCATGGATTTCTTGGTGTTAATTTTGTATCCTGCTATATTGCCAAATTCATTTATTAAGTCAATTAGTTTTTTAATGGAGTCTTTTGGGTTTTTTATGTACAATATCATGTCATCTGCAAATAAGGATAACTTTACTTCTTCTTTTCCAATTTGGATACCTTTTATTTCCTCTTCTTGTCTAATTGCAATGGCTAGTACTTCCAGTCGAACAGGAGTGGTGAGAGTGGGCATCCCTGTCTTGTTCCTGTTCTTAGAGGGAATGGTTTTAGTTTTTGCCCATTGAGTATGATGTTGGCTGTGGGTTTATCATATATAGCTTTTATTATGTTGAGGTATGAGCCTTGTACTCCCACCTTATTGAGAGTTTTTATCAGGAAAGGGTGTTGGATTTTATCAAATGATTTTTCTGCATCAATTGATATGACTATATGATTTTTATCTTTCAATTTTTTTATGTGATGTATCACGTTTATTGATTTGTGGATTTTGTACCATCCTTGCATTCCTGGAATAAATCCTACTTGGTCATGGTTTTTGATCTTTGTGATGCACTGCTGGAGCTGATTTGCTAGAATTTTGTTGAGGATTTTGGCATCTATGTTCATGAGGGATATTGGCCTGTAATTCTCTTTCATTGTGTTGTCTTTATCTGGTTTTGGTATTAGGGTGATGCTGGCCTCATAGAAGGAGTTTGGAAGTGTTCCTTCCTCTTGAATTTTTTGGAATAGTCTGAGGAGGATAGGTTTTAGTTCTTCCTTGAATGTTTGGTAAAACTCTCCCGTGAAGCCATCTGGCCCTAGGCTTTTGTTTGCTGGAAGGTTTTTGATGACTGTTTCAATTTCTTCCCAAGTCACTGCTCTATTGAGATTTTTAGATTCTTCCTGATTGAGTTTTGGAAGGTTGTATTTTTCTAGGAATATGTCCATTTCCTCCAGGTTGTTCAGTTTGTAGGAATAGAGTTGTTCGTAGTATTTTGTAACAATCTGTTGTATGTCGGTGGGGTCTGTTGTTATTTCACCTTTTTCGTTTCTGATTTTGTTTATTTGAGTCCTCTCTCTTTGTTTCTTGGTTAGCCTGGCTAGAGGTTCATCTATCTTGTTTATCCTTTCAAAGAACCAGCTCTTGGTTTTGTTGATGTTATGTATTGTTTCTTTGGTCTCTATGTCGTTTATCTCCTCTCTGATTTTTGTTATTTCCTTCCTTCTGCTTACACTGGGCTTTTCTTGTTGCTCTTTTTCTAACTCTTTGAGTTGTAGAGTTAGATAATTTGTTACCATATTTTCTGGCGTATAAGACGACCCCCTAATTTTACAGTTAAAACATAGGTTTAGGCCTATATTCGCTGTATAAAACGACCCCCCACTTCAAAGAAAAGACTTACTTTGCCTTCAAGATCTGCAGATAATTTTTGTGCAATTTTGGTCTTTTGCCCCTGATTTTCAGTTGACAGTTTTTCGTTTCAAAAGTCGTCTTATACGCTGGAAAATACGGTACTATTTTTTCTTGTTTTTTTGCAGTAGGCTTGTAGGGATATGAACTTCCCTCTCAAAACTGCTTTTGCTGTGTCCCATAGATTTTGGATTGTTGTGTTTTCATTGTCATTTGTTTCCAGGATGTTTTTAATTTCTTCCTTGATTTCTCTGGTAACCCAGTCCTTGTTTAATAGCATGCTGCTTAGTCTCCATGTGTTTGATTTCTTTGGATTATTTTTATTGTAGTTAATTCCCAGTTTTATGCCACTATGATCTGAGAAGATGCTTGATATGATTTCTATCTTCTTGAATTTGAAGAGACTTTGCCTATGTCCCAAAATGTGGTCTATCTTTGAGAATGTCCCATGTGCACTTTAGAAGAATGTATATTCTGTGGCTTTGGGGTGGAATGTTCTGAAGATGTCGATTAATTCCATCTGGTCTAGTGAGTCATTTAGAATTGATATTTCTTTGCTGATTTTTTGTTTAGATGATTTGTCAAAGGGTGACAGTGGGGTATTAAAATCTCCTACTATGATTGTATTGCTATTAATCTCTCCCTTAATGTCCTCCAGCAGTTTTTTTATGTATTTGGGTGCTCCCGTATTGGGTGCATATATATTTACCAGGGTTATTTCTTCTTGTTGGATTGCTCCCTTTAGTATTATGAAGTGGCCTTCATTATCTCTTGTTATGTCCTTCACTCTGAGATCTAATTTGTCAGATATAAGTATTGGTACCCCAGCTTTTTTTTTCATTTCCATTTGCCTGGAAAACTTTTTTCCATCCCTTCACCCTCAGTCTGTGTGCGTCTTTTTTTCTGATGTGGGTTTCTTATAGACAACAGATGTATGGGTCTTGTTTTCTTATCCATTCTGACACCCTATGTCTTTTGATTGGAGCATTTAATACATTTACATTTAAGGTTATTATTGATAGGTACTCATTTGACGCCATTTTTATTCTATACCTGTGTTCCTTCTTCACTTCCTATTTCTTTATTTTTACAGTAGACCCTTTAGCATTTCTTGCATTGCTGGTTTGGTGGAGATAAATTCCTTCAGTCTTTTTTTGTCTGTGAAGCTCCTGATTTCCCTTCAATTTTGATTGATAGCCTTGCTGGGTACAGTATTCTTGGATTCAGAACCTTCCTTTGCATGACTTTGTATATTTCATCCCATTCCCTTCTGGCCTGATATGTTTCTGTTGAGAAACCAGTTGCTAGTCTGATGCGGGTTCCTTTGTATGTAACTTTCTGTCTCTCTCTGGCTGCTTTTAAGATTCTTACTTTGTCATTGTTGTTTGCCAATTTAATTATAATGTGCCTTGGTGTCTGTCTTCTGGGATTCATTTTGCTTGGGACTCTGCGAGCATCTTGGATTTGTGTGGGTTTTTTCTTCTCTGTCTCAGGAAAGTTTTCTGTCATTATTTCTTGAAATACTTTTTCCATGTCTACCTCAGATTCCTTTCTTCCTGGAACCCCTATTATTTGAATATTATTTTGTTTTGTATTGTCCCAAAGCTCCCGTAGGCTCTCCTCCTGCTTTTTAATCTTTTTTTCTAGAAGCTGCTCTAATTGGGTATTTTTTTCCATCTTGTCTTCTAGCTCACTGATGCGGTCCTCTGCTTCATCTAGTCTACTCTTGATGCTTTCTATTGAGTTCTTCATGTCAGCGATGTCGTTTTAAATTTCCTCTTGGTTATTCTTCAATTCCTCTTGGTTATTCTTCAATTCCTCATAGTTCTTCCTCATTTCTTCTTGGTTATTGTCAATTTCTCTTCCATTCTTTATAGCCATCCTATGATCATTACTCTGAATTCTTGCTCAAGTAGGTTGCTTGCCTCTAACTCGTTTACTTCCTTTTCTGGTGATGCCTGATTTTCTTTCATGTGCGGGCTATTTCTTTGTCTGCCCATGGTCTCTCTTTTCAGGATGTCTGGTTATGTGGTGTTCCTTCTCCTGTGTTGATTTAAAGGCACAAAATACAACACTACCAGGTTCAACACAAGAGGCACTTAACAGGAATGTATTTACAATATTAATAACCTCTAATAAAGGTGACCACTAGAGAAAGGCAAATTAGGGGATAGGAGAGAAGGAAGGAAGGTAAAATTAAAAAAAAGAAAAATTTAAAAATAAATAAATAAATAAACAAAGAAAGAAAGAAAGAAAGAAAGAAAGAAAAGAGAGATAAAGAGAAAAAGAAGGGAAAAAAGTAATGACAAAATGAAGTTGGAAAACAGGGAAAAAAGAGAGAAAGAGAGAGAGAGAAGAAGCAGACTAAGAGAAATGGAAAACAAACACACTCTCTCTCTCTCTCTCTCTTTCTCTCTCTCTCTCTCTCTCTCTCTATATATATATATATATGGAGAAAATTCCCATAGAACAACCACTAATCCCAGCCAATGCCAGCAACAATACTTGGAGATTAATACAAACTACAATATCCACTATTATTAAGTAAGGCTATGATATATAGAAGTATAAAACAAACAAAAACAAAGGATTTTTAAAAAAAAAAAATACAAAGCAACAATAACAACACAGGAATAAGCATAACAATTTCACTAAAAAGCATAAAAATTCACAACATTCACGCAAACAATGACAAAAGGATAGAGAGGAGAACAGTTTTTGTTTTGTTTTTTTAACTAGTTAATATAGTGCAGAGAGTGGTATTTATACACTTGGATCAGGGATTGGAAATTAGGTCTATAAGTATAGTGAGAGCTTTAGCAGGGGGTATACAGAAAGAATAGAGGAAAAACTCAAGCCGGAAAAGGATAGGATAAACAGACTAAAAGGGTAAAGTTTAGTAAGAGAGTGATGGTGTAAAAGTCGAGTTGAGATAGGGTTGAACAATGCTATAGTAGAGATTAAAATAGAATGAAGATTACTCTCAATGTAAAATAAAGAAAAAATAAAATGGTACTGGAGAGAAAAAAAAGAGAAAAATAAAACAAAAATTGCAAAATAGCAGTAGTAACAGTGATGATTGAGATTGAAAAATGTAATAATTGAAAAGGTAAAATCAAGTAAGGAAAAAAAATTGTTTCTTAAGTAAAAGATGTAAAAAATGAAAATTAAATAAAAGATGTAAAAAATGAAAATAAAATAAAGAATAGTAAAATTAGCATAAAAATGTCCAATAGTGGTCATTCACTTCCTCTGTTATTGTACTTGGCACACCTGATTCTCGGACCAGACAGTCTTGCAGTTCCCAGCGTTCCACTGCACCTCAGTTTTGTAAGGTAGTCCTTAATTTTAAGTAGGCTATATCTTAGTTATTTGTGTCCATTTATTTTTTATTAAAAGTTTAAAATAAAAAGGCACCTTATAGTTCAGCCCCTAGGTGGCAGTGTTTCTGGTTTGACCTCCCAGTCTTTTTGGTTGCTCTGGCCTTCTTTCTCTATGGCTCTAGCTGGCAGAGTGCCAGCTGGCTCTGGTGCCCTGTTTCCTGGGAGGCAATTTCCCCCTGAAATCCCCAGGATATGCCCAACTGGGCAGTCCTTCCCTAGTATTCAGAAGCAAGGGGGTGAAGGGGATCAGGCGCCAAGGTGTCCAGATGTTCCGCCCTTGGCGGGACAGCCCCAATTCTTAATCTGTGCTGTGTCCCTTGGTGTTTTTCAAAAAGGTCCTGCTTCTGGGGAGGATTATGCCAAACCCAGCACTGGGTCGCGCAGGGACTGATTTTCTCTGCAGCGCAGCCTTCTTTCGGCACCCGCTCAGGTGCTCCCTGGCTGCAGTGAAGGCAGGGCCGGAGCTCCGTGGCTAGTTGCTGCCTGTGCCGCAGGGACCCAGAACCCTCACGCTATCCCCGCAAACTCTGACCTTTCCGTGGGTGATTGAAGAACTCCCTTGCATCCACGTGTTTGCACCGATTGGGGCGTCACAGCTGCTCGATGGTCTCCTCTACTGTGGGTTTTCCAGGCCTCAGAGAAGATCCTCATTTCCTGGAAAGATGGTGCAGCCATCCCTCTGAGCCAGTAGCTCTGGGAGAGGTCTCTGCCGCCGCAGTGCTGGCTGCTTGGTCAGGAAATCCTGTCCAGCGGACCCTTCCTTACCTTCCTTTAGAGTTCCGCTGCCCCTTAGCTGCCAATCAATATTCCCTGAGTGACTCAGACGCTGCTTTTATCTGTTCTGGGACCAGGGTCAGAACAAGTCCGTCTGTTCGGTCGCTATCTTGTCTCCTTCTCCTGGGTTATCAGGACCTCAGAATTTGAGCACCTGAAATATTTCAGCATTTTCTGTCTCTGGCCACAAGAATCTTACGTGTTTCTGTCCAAGTAAATATAAAATACTACTGTGCCATCAAGATTATGCAAGGGAGCAACCTGGATGGAATTGGAGAACATCATGCTGAGTGAAATAAGCCAGTCAATGAAAGAGAACCACATGACCTCACACATTTATGGGTAATAAAGAGCATTATAAACTGAAGAACCAAAAGATAGAGATGGAGACAGTAAAGCAACAAGCAGACAGTCAAATTACAGCGGAGAGGGTAGGGGGGAAAAAAAATTATGCAAGGTTTTCCAGCAGAAGCTGGTCAAGCAAATCATCCTGTGTCGGGAACTCTGTCAGTGCTGATGCCAAGAATAAAGGAGGCTTTTAGCTTATTGTGCATTAATTTTCAAGAATTGCAAGTCAACAACTTCTGTTTAGTAACATGGGTAGAGTAAGTAAACTTCACAGGCCATTGGGAGATAAGTCCCTAGATGTGATCCAACTCCAGGAAACAAATCTTTAGCCTTTACACATGGACTTTTATTTTATTTTTTAATATATTTTATTGATCTTTCACAGAGAGGAAGAGAGAGGGATAGAGAGTTATAAACATCAATAAGAATCATCGATCAGCTGCCTCTTGCACACCCCCTACTGGGGATGTGCCCACAACCAAGTTACATGCCCTCAACCAGAATGGAACCTGGGACCTTTCAGTCCGCAGGCCGACGCTCTATCCACTAAGCCAAACCGGTCCTGGCTTTACACATGGACTTTTAATAGATTTAACAACCCTAGGAGAGGAAGGGAGACAGATGAGCTTTGAGATCTCTCCTTTAGAATGATTTCTTAAAATGAAAATCTGGTACTGTTCACTACCCTAAACAAAATTTTTAAGGCTTCCCATGGCTCATGGGATAAAACCTACATTCTTCCTCATGGAATTTCAGGCCCCTTATGCACTGGTTTTGGCTCACACTTCCACTTTCATGTGGGACCTCTATTTCTTATGCACACTGCCCTCTAGCTGCCCCACCAACCAGTTTTCTGAACACTGTATGCTCCTTCACACTTCTACTGTTCTCTGTGGAAGGTCCATTTCCCTCTCCCCTTTTCACCAGATGAGCTCCTCAACTTTCCAGACTCACACAAGGTTTCCCTTGGGATTCTTTTCTTAACGCCCCCTACTTCCAGTCCTTATTTTAGGTCCTTTCTGTGGTAGTGACTCCATGGCCTCATAATTGTGACATTGTTTGTTGCCTCCAGGACCATGAGATCTTTAAAGCTGGGAAGTATGGCTCAATGCCATGTTTAAGAGTCAGGTTTGGATCCTCATTCTACCACTCTGATTGTGTGACTTGAAAAGTGATCAAACCTCTCTCAGCCTCAGTGTTCTCATTTATAAGTGAGTTCTTATCTCACTTTGAATGAATAATTGAGATCTAGTTATGAAGTGTTTAACATGTCATCCTGACCCAAGTGAGAGCTCTCTTGAAGGGTAACTGCATTTCCATTGCCCAGCGGAGTGTCTAGGAGTTAGGTGTTCAGAGATATTTAAAGGAATGAATTGATATAACTGATATGATAGGAGCTCTGTGTGCTTTGGGGGTTTGTATTGTGAAAACCTTGAATATAAAGAAGACCTGACCATGCCCAACTCATTTTTTGTCTCTCTTTGAAGTTCCCATTATTTTAGTATATGTGCTGCCGAAGCGAGCACGAAGTTCCCATTATTGTTCTTACAGCCTCCTACGTTCTCTATTTTGTGTTTGTCCTGAACTCTGCCCTCCTACCTTCTTAGTCAGGGAAGGAACTCAGACCAGAACTTCTCTGATGATTTTGATTTTTCTCAGGATGCAGGCTAGCACTCATATCAGTCTTCAACTCTGGGCTTAACAAGGTCAGGAGTGAAAGGAGGATTTCCTCTTAGACTTATGCCTGTGCTGTCAGTACGGTAGCCATTAATCATGTGTGGCTCTTGAGCATTTGAAGTGTGGCTGATCCAAATTGAGATGTTCTTTAAATGTACAATACACACTAACTTTTGTAGACTTAGTACTAAAAAAGAATGGAAACTCAATTTTCATATTGATTGCATGTTGAAATTATAATGTTTTGGAAATATTGGGTTAAATAAAATATATTATTAAAATTATTTTCACTGTTTCTTTTTACTTTTTTGTGGGGCTACTAGAATGTTTAAAATTACATGTGGCGCAGAAACCAGTTTGGCTCAGTGGATAGAGCATCTGTCTGTGGACTCAGGGGTCCTGGGTTCGATTCCGGTCAAGGGCATGTACCTTGGTTACAGGCACATCCCCAGTGGGGGGTGTGCAGGAGGCAGCTGGTCGATGTATCTCTCTCATCGACATTTCTAGCTCTCTATCCCTCTCCCTTCCTCTCTGTAAAAAGAATCAATAATATATATATATATATATATATATATATATATATATATATATATATATTTTTTTTTTTTTTTTTTTTTTTTTTTTGAATTACATGTGGCTTACATTATATTTTTCTGACAGTACGATTCAACACACCTAGCATATCAAATTCAGAGAGGCTGGAAATCAGAAAAGGTGGAATATGGCAGGATGGAAAGATCAACTGTTATAGCACTTTTTTTTTTTTATAATATGTTAAGGAAGTTGAGACTCAGGTGAATTGATTTGCCCCAAGTCACATAGGCTGAATAAGACCAAGGACACATGACCCTCAAGCCTAGTGTTCCTTACACTGCACCATGATTCTGCCTCACTTTCCCTAAAATAACTTGCTCTTTGGCTGATGCTCACTGTTAATTAATATGCAGGTATACTGGGAGGGGGAACTTCTGCTAGAGCTCGTTGATTAGCTCTACATGGTTCTGAGGGAATATAACATAGAACAGATATTTTAAAATTTAGGTATGCTGAGGAAAGCCAGAATGGGTAATACTTTTCTATGGTCAGATGGGAGGCTGGGGAAGATGGCATGGGGTGGGAAGGAGAAATTAGGCTACTGTGGGCGATTGTAGGTGGAAGTAGGGGGGCAGTAAAACAGTGCTAGTGGAGGATGTAGGGTTCTGCTTCTAGAAAGGGTTTAGAAGGGACCCAGAAGTAGTTTATAGCTTTGTGGAGGTGATCTCCATTCTATTGCATGTATGTGTTAAGGCCCCTGCTTCCAGCCCCTATTTCATGTCCTTTCTGTGGTAGTGACTCCATGGCCTCATAGTTGTAACATTTTTGTTGCCTCCAGGATCTGTGAGTTCATTGAAACTAGGAAGTATGGCTCAATGCCATTTTAAGAGTCAGGTTTGGATCCTCATTCCACTACTCTCTGGTTGTGTGACTGTTGAAAAGTGATTGAACCTCTCTCAGCCTCAGTGTTCTCATCTGTGAGTGACTTCATACCTCACTTTGGATTAGTAATTGAGATCCTACTTATGAAGTATATGTAGACTGTTTAAAATATATTTAAAAATATATGGTACTGCCTGGCTGGCATGGCTCCGTGGATGAGCGTCAATTTATGGACCAGGAGGCTACCGTTCAATTCCTGGTTGGGGCACATGCCTTGGTTGCAGTGGGGGGCGTGCAGGAGGCAGCTGATCAGTGATTCTCTCTTATCATTGATGTTTCTCTTTCTCCCTCTCCCTTCCTCTCTCTGAAATGAGTGTGCGATTCAATAGCAACGGGACTCAGACATCCATTCCCGCCTGCCTGTGTTCCAGTTTGACAATCAAGATTACTTCAACTCTTGTACCATGAAAAGCTGCTGTTTTGCAGGAGATCATGATCGGTATATTCTTTCAGGTCGTGCACATGTGGAGAACTCCTGTAGATCCAGAAGCAAGTGGCATTGGTAGAGTGGTCAATGGAGCCTTCATGGTGCTGAAAGGGCATTGGCCTATTGTTAACCAGGTTCGATTTAACCCCCACACCTACATGATCTGCTCTTCTGGTGTAGAAAAGATTATCAAGATGTAGAGCCCAGCCGAAACCGGTTTGGCTCAGTGGATAGAGCGTCGGTCTGCGGACTGAAAGGTCCCAGGTTCGATTCTGGTCAAGGGCATGTACATTGGTTGTGGGCACATCCCTGGTAGGGGTTGTGCAGAGGGCAGCTGGTCGATGAATCTCTCTCATCGATGTTTCTAACTATCTCTCTTCCTTTCTCTCTGTGGAAAATCAATAAAAATATATATATTTAAAAAAAAAATCTAGAGCCCGTACAAGCAGTCAGGATGTACAGGAGACCTCGATGGTCGCATTGAGGATGATTCCCGCTGACTCTACACGCACGAAGAGTGCATAGCCTCGTGCTGAACAGTGGGAGTGGCCTGTCGCACGACTATTCCAACCAGTCGGTGCGGGAGGACCCCCAGATGATGGCCTTCTTTGACTCACTGGTGCGCCATGAGATCATGAGATCGAGGGCTGGAGCTCTGACTCCGACAGTGACCTGAGCAAGAGCACCATTCTCAAGCTGCACACAGGGGTCAGCGAGCGCTCGGGCTATACTGATTCCGAGTCCTCAGCCTCGCTGCCCCGGTCCCCGCCACCCACAGTGGACGAGTCCGCAGACGGCGCCTTCCACCTGGGGCCCCTGCGGGTCACCACCTCAAACACAGTGGCCTCAACTCCTCTGCCACCCCCACTTGCGAGGAGGCAACTTCCCGCCAGGAGCGCCTGTCATCTCTGCAGCGACACCAGGACAAACGCCTCCTGGCGCTCTCCAATGAGTCGGACTCTGAAGAAAATGCCTGTGAGGTTGAACTGGACACGGATCTCTTCCCCCGGCCTCGGTCTCCCAGCCCCGAAGATGAGTCCGGCAGCTCTAGTAGCTCCGAGGATGAGGAGGGACTGAATGAACCCCGTACATCCACCCGGCAGCGGAATGCCATACGGTGCCGGCAAAAGGCGCCCCGAGAAGAGAAGCCCGCCTCTGCCCAAGCCCACCAACACCTACATTGAAGAAGACAACTATGATTATCCCCAGATCAAAGTGGATGACCTCTCTTCCTCCCACACCTACTCTCCTGAGCAGAGCATCACCAACTTCAGACATTGAGCCAGTTGAGCGCAAGATTTATAAAGCTTAAGTGGCTCTGCTACTCCTATATCTCCTACTCAAATAAGGACGGAGAGAGGTCCCTGGTGTCTGGGGAAGCAGACGAAGGGAGAGTAGGAAGCATTCATAAGTATAGCCCGGGCCCTTCTTCCAGTAAGGAAACCTGTCTAAACACTTTGGGGGCCCAAAGGAACCAGAACCTACTCCCTGAAGGCCACAGCAAGGATGCTTTAAAAGAAGGGACTTCCGCTAAAAATCCCAGCATTGCCCCAGGCCATGAGCACAGTGGCCACTTTTGGGCAGAAGCACCAGAGGACACCGCTCAGGACACTAACAATGGTGGCTCCGTAGAACACTCTTTTGAAATCAAGAAGCTCAATGGAAAGGCTCTGAGCAAGGTCCTGAGCAGCCGGGCTGAGGAGCCATCCTCTCCTCGTGTCCCCAAGGCATCTGGCTCTACTCAACAGTGAGTCAAGCAACTGTCCCAGGCAGCAAAGAGAGAAGCCTGGACACCATCTGTGCCAACCACAATAATGGACGCTTATACCCTCGCCTCCCTCACCCTTACAACAATGGACAGAACTTTGGGATGCTGGAAGCAGTGGCCTGCTCTTTTCCAGGACATTCAGACACTGACCATAATTTGTCCCTGATAGGGGGACTCCTACACAAAGACTGTTGTGGGTTTGAAATGGCCTGTGAGACCCCCCAGTGCTAGAATGAGGCATAGACAGCAGCAGGGCTGTTCATGGCCATGGTGGCCTCAAAAGGCACCGAGTTGAATTGGAAAATACAGATTCAGAGAATTCCTCCTCAGAGAACAAATTAAAACATGATAAATACAAAGGGAAAACAAAAAGCTACAAAAAAAATTTTTTTTAACTATATAGTTTATTGTGGGTGTTTTGTTTTTGTTTTTTACAGAGAGGAAGGGAGATGGATAGTGTGTTAGAAGCATCCATGAGAGGGCAACATCGATCAGCTGCCTCCTGAAACACCCCCTACTGGGCATGTGCCCACAACCAAGGTACATGCCCTTGACTGGAGTCGAACCTGGTACCCTTCGACGCTCTATCCGCTGAGCCAAACCAGTTAGGGCTACAAAATTTTTTTTAATCCTGTTTAGTGAATACTGAGGAAAGGGGAAAAAATGTATTAAAGTATAAAACCAGGGCCTGAATTTTGTGTCTGATGCTCCTCCCTTCTATTCAACAATGGGTCTGATGTTTAGTTGTCCATTGGCTTGTGCTGTGCTAAGAAAGGGAAAAAAACCCAAGTGACTCCTTTCTAGTAAAACTTGAGCATAGTGAACCTGTGCAGATTAGATCCATCAAAGTATTTTCTTGTTGAGACAAAAAAAAAAAAAAAAAAAAGGTAGATGAATTGATAAAGAAACATGTATTATATATAGTATTATATTATTCAGCCATAGAAAATAAAATATTTCTACCTACAATAAGGATGGATCTAGAGGTTATTGTGCTAACAAAATAAGTCACACAGAAAAAAACAAATACCATATGACTTCACATATATGTGGGATCTAAAAAAAAAAATAAACACAAACAAAACATATACTAGTACAAACTCATAGGTACGGAGAACATTTTGATGATTGCTAGATGGCAGCGGGGCTAAGAGGATGGGTGAAAAAGTGGAAGAGATTAAGAAGTACAAATTGGGCCGAGACCAGTTTGGCTCAATGGGTAGAGTGTCGGCTTGGAGACAGAAGGGTCCCGGGTTCGATTCTGGTCAAGGGCATGTATGTACCTTGATTGCGGGCATATCCCCAGTAGGGGGTGTGCAAGAGGCAGCTGATCGATGACTCTCTCTCATCGATGTTTCTAATTATCTCTCTCCCTCCCTCTCTGTACAAAATCAATAAAATATGTTTAAAAAAAAAAAAAAGAAGTACAAATTGGCAGTTACAAAAATCATGGGAATATAGGGTACAGCATATGGAATATAGTCAATAATAATGTAATGGCTATGTGTGGTAACAGATTAATGCTAAACTTGTCTGAGTGACTACTACGTAAGTTATATGAATGTCTAACTGTATTGTGCATGTGAAACTATGATATTGTATGTTGACTAATTTTTTAAAAAATTTTAAGTAGAAACAAGCATTGATCATTTTATATATGCTATAGGATAGAGATTAAAGTGTCAAAAAAATTTAAATACCTTTTAAAATATAATCAGATATAGACAGTCATAAGAACCAAAATAAATTTATTTACAAAATTTCTTACTTGACCAGTGAAGAACCAAGAAAAAATATACCAAGAAACAGTCAACTATGACCCAACAAATAGTCTTTAACCCACTTCATAAAACACAACAACCAGAGCAGCTCCTGATAATTAGGCTTGAAAAAAGTCCTTCTACATTTCCTTCAATTGAATAAGAACATACATTTAACAACAGGATCTGTATAAGTAACATCATGGTACTTGTAGACTCACTTGAGTCACAGTTTCTAGTGTGTTTTTCCCTTTCTACCTTACATAGATGTTTCACCAGGTTTGTTGATTCCTTCATTGGCTTCATTTTCTTTTTCTTCTCCTTCGCCGGTTTTCTCTTTTTCTCCTCTGTTGGCTCCTTTCTCTTCTTCTTTGTCTTGAACACTGGTGTAAACTACTTTGTTATGGCCTTCCCTGTTCCGAGCAATTTCAATGGCAAAAAATTGTATCCTGGGGGCTGGAAAGTGAATAGAATTTATTATTGTCCTGGTGACACTTTTTCTAGACCTACTGGAAATCGATTGACAAACCTTAACTAACATGTAAAGTATTCAAATATAATCATAATTTTCAGAGATGTGAAATTTTAATCCTATAATAAATAAGGCTGAAAATAGTTAACTATCTTATCTCACAGTTATACAAGAATTAATCACATGATCTTTTTTAAAAAATATGTTTTTATATATTTATTTCAGAGAAAAGGAGAAGAGATGGAAATATCAATGATGAGAGAGAATCATTGATTGGCTGCCTGTTGCAAACCACCCCCCCCCCACCACCACCACCACCAGGGATTCAGCCTGAAACTTGGGTATATACTAAGGTGACCAGACGTCCCACTTTTAGCAGGACAGTCCCAATTTTTTAACAATTTGTCCCGCATCCCACAGCATTTTTAAAAAATCCCGAATTTTGGAAAGATCTTTTAAATCTTTTGGACTTTTTTAAAACGCTGCGGGATGCGGGACAAATTGTTAAAATTAGGACTGTCCCGCCAAAAGCAGGACGTCTGGTCACCTTAGTATACAATCTATCGTGACCTCCTGGTTCATAGGTCAGTGCTCAGCACCTGAGTCACAGCAGCCAGAGAGTAACATAATCTTTAAAGATATATATGTGTGTGTGTGTATGTATGTGTGTGTGTATATATATATATATATATATATATATATAAAAGGCTAATATGCTAAGTGTCCTTCCCTCCGACTGGGTAATGACTTCACGTAGCAACACCAGGCTTCCTCTCCCTAGCTACAACTAGCCTCCTTACAGTTTCTTTAGCCCAGGAACATGACTTGCTTTATAACCAGGTGGAAACACTTAACACTGTCATCAACTGCCTGTGAACGTTTTCCCATGCCTCATCTCATTTGATCCTCACAGAAGTCCTGGAGTAGGCAGATAGGAGACTTGATGGAATACTATTTTCTATTCATTAGCCAGAAAATGGAGATTTCTAAAGCTTAGAAACTTGATCCAACCGAAAAGAAGAAACTGTGAACCTTGAAAATGACTTCAGGTTTTCTCACTGCACAGAATATAGTCAAACACTGCTGCAGTTAAATATTTTACCCTTTGTTCTCCCTGTGTGATCTACAATAATAATCTGCTTCGTATTGATATTTACTGCTGTGCTGCTGAAAGAGAAGTTGGGGTGCTTCACTGGGTTGGAAAAGTTTAGCTAAATCAGATAGCAGGTCTAATTAATAAGCCAGTTTGTTCTATATCTATAAAAGGCTAAGTTGACTTGTGCATGCTTGATACATATAAAGCTCTCACTGGCACCAATCACACACGTGTTTCCATCTGTCATTGTCAATCGTGAATTTGGTTGACACTTCTATCATATAGAGAAAGGGCGAATAGTAATATTAAAATATTTATTCTAATTAATTTCCTTTCAACATGCAGAAATTCATGCACGGGGCCACTAGTAACAAATAAGATGATCCCAAATTAACCATCTATATAAACTATTCATCAGTAAAGTCACATCTTCCATTCACCTTATACAGAAACAATTCAAGAGGCAAGAAACTCACCAAAGATAGTGTTTTCCTCAGTGTAGCCTTGAGAACAATCCAGTCGCAGCAAAGTACCATAGTTGAAGTCTTCTATAACCCCATCAAACTTCAAACAAAATGGCCTCCACTTCTAAAAAAGGCAAAAAAAATGCCTCACCTGAATAATCCACTGCAGACTAGCTGGACAGATCCCTGATAAACAATGAAGAAAGTGGAAACTGCATAGAGACAGGTGGGAAGGGCAGAGGCAAGAATGGGCTCCCAAGCTCCCACAAACAGCTGCTGAAGTTCCAGATAGATATCTCATCTATTGGGAGTTGCGACTAAAAACTCTGAGGTATGCCGAAACCGGTTTGGCTCAATGGATAGAGTGTCGGCCTGTGGACTGAAAGATCCCAGGTTTAATTCCGGTCAAAGGCATGTACCTTGGCTGTGGGCACATCCCCATTAGGGGGTGTGCAAGAGGCAGCTTATCAATGTTTCTGGCTCTCTATCCCTCTCTCTCCCTCCCTGTAAAAAATCAATAAAATATATTTTTTAAATAAATAAATGAATAAAAATAAAAACTCTGAGGTATAAAATCCAAGCTGGGTCCCCCAGCAGAGAGCACCAGAACTGGAAGAAAATGCCCACATAACATCAGGCTATGAAAAACAGTAGGGTTGTTGTCTGCCAAGGAGTCAGGCACCCTCTTAAAGGGTCAAAGCACAAAATTTTGTGTGCAGCCAGTAAAGGGAGGGCAGAGTGGCCTGGAGCTATGTGAGCAGGAGCCAGGGATGGGGCACACACCCCAGTTTCCTGTGCTGAGTCATTCTCTCACACTGTGGAGGACATCTTTCTGAGGCAGACCTTTGGTATCCAGGCAGTCTTTTCCTTGTGGGGGAATACAGATACCCAACTATATTGAAAAACCCCTTGCTCCACACTGTGGAGTTTATGAGACCCATTAAAAGACTGAGAATAATAATTAGCTCCAGGCAGAAGCAATTAACACATCCTGTTGGAAAACTCACCCCACTTGTGGACCATTGCCTGAGGCTACCCAGGACTGAATCCACTCAGTCTGCAGGCAGAGGCAGGTCTAGCAGGCTTTGAATCTTTGCCTAAACAGTCAGAAACAGTTTGATGCTGTCCTGCACTAGACAGACAGACAAAATGAGGAAATAAAAAACAACCCCCAAAAAAGAACAAGAGAATTCTCCAGAAGAGCTAATGAAATAGAGACAAGAAATTTATCAGATATAGAGCTCAGAATAATGATGGCAAAGATTATCAATGGCATAAGAAAAGATATAACTGTGCAGAATGACATACCAATAATAAAGAACATAGTGGAATGAAAATACAACAGAATAGGGGAAGCTGAGGATCAGATAAATGAAGTAGAAGATAGGGTAGGAAAAAAATCATGCAAAGAACCAAAAACAATTAAACAACAGTATAGCTTAAGGAAGCAGTGGATAACGATGAAACTTAACAGTATTCACATAATAAGTGGCAAGAAGGAAATTGAGCAAGGAATAGAGAGTATGTTTGAAGAAAAAAAAAGGCAGAAAATAGGGAAGGAAAAAGAAACACAAGTTCAGAAGGCACATAGAGTCCCAAGTAAGAAAACCTCTAACAGGCCCATGACTAGACACATCATCAATTAAATACCAAAAATTAAAGACAAAGATAATCTTAAAGACAGTGAGAGAAAAGCAATATCTATACTAATAAAAGCCAAGGTGGCCCCTGCGCGCCGTCATCACCAGATGGCTACAAGATGGCTGCCACAAGATGGCCGCCACAGCACAGCAGAGGCGGGGCCCAGTGGCTGCTTTGCATGGTGAGGCCTGGGGGTTCCACAGCTCCACACAGCACAGAGGAGGCTGGTCCCAGCATCTCTGCAATCTCACTTGGAGGAGGAGGGTCCCAGCTGAGGAGGTGGGTCACGGCAGGGGAGGGCAGTTGTAGTCAATCAGGCTGGCAGGGGAGGGCAGTTGGGGGCCATCAGTCTGCAGGGGAGCAGTTAGGCATCAATTAGGCCAGCAGGGGAGTGGTTAGGGGGCAATCAAGCTGGCAGGCAGGTGAGCAGTTAGGAGCCAATGGTCCGGGACTGTGAGAGGGATGTCCAACTGTCCCCAAGGGGTCCCAGATAGGAAAGGGTGCAGGCTGGACTGAGGGACACATCCCCATGCACAAATTTTGTGCCCTGGGCCACTAGTGTTACATATAAAGGAATTCCCATAAGACTGACACCTGATTTCTCATAAGAAACTCTACAGGCCAGGAGCTCCGGGAAGATGGCGGAAATGTACACTTGTACGTGCTGCCTCTCACAACCACATCAGTGCTGCAACTGGGGATCTTACCTGAAACCTGAAAAAACCACAACTGTGGGGGCCCTGACCGTGCAGACATGCAGATTCCACAGAAAGGTTGGATTTTGCTGGGGATAACATGGGGTGTCTGTGTCCCAACAGCAGAAGTGGAAGCCGCAAAAGCTGTGGCCGCTATGGCGGCAGAGGCAAAAGCACGCACTGGGACCCCGGAAATCTGAGTCCACAAAAGCCTCCCGCTGTTGGGTCTGGCATGATTTAAGAGAGTAGACGGGGGTCCCCAAGGTTGCTAATAGTGGGGTTCTCTAGGGAGCAACCCATTCTCATCCTACATGGAGGGAGAACAAAGAAGTTGGAAAGCAGTCTGTAAATGAACGCAGACTGGCCCATTGCGTACCTAGGCTGGTTCCCCTGCAACCCTTTGCTTCTGATTACAAAGGAGAGACCACCCAGGTTGGCTGGCCCTAAGAGACAGCAGGGGGAAACTGCTTTTCTGGAAGCTGAGAAGCAGAGCGGGTAGAAACCATCCACGATTCAGCTCCCAGGCAAAAACAAACAAACAAACAAACAAAAAACTGTATTGAATGCCATAGAAAAAGGCTAGAGAAGCCAAAAAGGCGGGGACATCAATCCAGAAACACTGCCACCTAGGGGCTGGAGTACAAACTGACTGTGTTTATTACTAGTTTTATTTTATCAAAAACCAAGAAACTAAGGAGTCACCATCTTAAAATCAAGGACTGGTTTACAACACAAGGGTGCAGCAGAACGCAGGGAACTGCAATACTGTCTGAAACAGGCGTGCCAAACAGAATAACAGAAGAAGTGAATGGCCTTAACAACTGCACACTTTTTTTGCTAATCTTTTATTTTTTATTTTATTTTCATTTTTTGCATCTTTTATTTAAGAAACGATTGTTTTCCTTGTTTCCTCACTTAATTTTAACTTTTTAATTATTACATTTGTAGGTTCAATCAGCCTTAATACTACTGTTTTAATTTTTTTAAGTGCCATTTTATCTTCTCTTTATTTTACATTGGAATTGGTGTTCTTCATTTTATTTTCATTTCTCCTTTAACATTGTTTAACCCTATCTCAACACGATCTTTACACCATCACTCTCTTTCTAACCTTCCCTCTTTTGCTATCCTGTTTATCTTAACCCTTTCCTGCTTTAGATTTTCCTTACTCCTTCTGTCTCCAGGCTGCTAAAATTTCTACCCTACTTATATATCAAATTTCCAATCCCCAGGGCCAAGTGCATACACACCCCTCTCTGAGCTGTATTAACTAGCAAAAAAAAAAAAAAAAAAAAAAAAAAAAAAAAAGAATTGTTTTCCTCACTGCCCTTTTGATGCTGTTTGGGGGAATGTTGATTATATTGTATTTTTATGCTTTTTAGTGGGAGGATTTTGCTTATTCTATTGTTGTTTCTGTTGCTTGGTATTTTCTTATTTGATTGGTTTTTTGGTTTTGTTTTTGTTTTTACTTCTGTTTTCCCTTCCTTTGCTGGAAATTAGGAGGTGTTGTAGAATGTATTATTCTCCACGTACTGCTGCCAGCATTTGCTGGGGTTAGTGGTTGTTCTATTGAAATACTCTCCCCTCATAGTTTATTCCCCATTTATCTCTAAGTCAGTCTCTCTCTCCCTCTCTCCCTCTCTCTCTCTCCCTCTCTCCTCCCTGTTTCCCAATTTCATTTCGACACTCATATATATATATATATATATATATATATATATATATATATTCTCCCCCCCCCGCCAATCTTTTTCTTTTGCTCCCTCCCTCTTCTCTTTTTACTCTTCCTCTTTCTCTCCTATCCCCTAATTTGCTTTTCCCTAGTGGTCACCTTTATTGGAGGTTATTAATATCGCAAATACATTTCTGTTCAGTGCCTTGTGTGTTGTACCTGGTTGTGTTGTATTTTGTGCCTTTATATCAACACAGGAGAGAGATCTACATAACCAGACATCCTGAAGAGAGAGACTATAGGGAGACAAAGAAACAGCCCACAAATGAAAGAAAAGCAGGCGTCACCAGAAAAGGAAGTAAACGAGTTAGAGGCAAGCAACCTACCAGAGCAAGAATTCAGAGTAATGATCATCAGATGGCTAAAAAGAATGGAAGACAAATTTGACAATATGAGTAAGACCCAAGAGGAAATGAAGAAGAACCAAGAGGAAATGAAGATGAATCAAGAAGAAATGGAAAATGACATCGCTACTATGAAGAACTCAATAGAAAGCATCAAGAGCAGACTAGAAAAAGCAGAGGACTGCATCAGTGAGCTAGAAGACAAGATGGAAAAAAATACCCAATTAGAGCAACTTCTAGAAAAAAATATTAAAAAGCAGGAGAGCCTAAGGGAACTTTGGGACAATACAAAACAAAAAATATTAGAATAATAGGGGTTCCAGAAGGAAAGGAAACTGAGGAAGACATGGAAAAGGTATATAAAGAAATGACAGAAAACTTTCCTGAGATAGAGAAGAAAAAACACGCATAAATCCAAGATGCTCGCAGAGTCCCAAGCAAAATGAACCCCAGAAGACTGACCCCAAGGAACATTATAATTAAACTGGCAAACACCAATGACAAAAAAAAAAATCTTAAAAGCAGCCAGACAGCCGAGACCGGTTTGGCTCAATGGATAGAGCGTCGGCTTGGGGACTGAAGGGTCCCAGGTTCGATTCCGGTCAAGGGCATGTACCTTGGTTGTGGGCATATCTCCAGTAGGGGGTGTGCAAGAGGCAGCTGATCGATGACTCTCTCTCATCGATGTTTCTAACTCTCTATCTCTCTCCCT